ATGGGGAGCACAGATGTCAGCTGAGCCAAAGGCCATTTTGTTTGGCCAGTGTTGGGAAAGTGCTGAGGCAGGGGACTTGGGGACCTCCCCATCAGGAAGCCATCTCAGGCGAGGTTGGGATATATGGCTACCTCCCCCAGAGACGCCCCACCTGGCTTCTGTTTACCTGGGAGTTACTGTTGAGGATCCAGTGTGTCCTCACTGGGCAAAAGGCCCAGAAAGCCCAGGGCTGTGCTTGGAGTGGGAGTGAAAGGATTACTGCTTGAGCCCTTGAGGGTGGGGACAATGTCTTCTTTTGCTCTGCACCCTACGTTGGGACAAATGTGAGTGCCTTTCTCTCCCTCACTTACTCAGGCGCCTGGGACATCTTAGGCAGGTAGAAGTTACTTCTGTGGAAGTGCTTCCCAGAAGAGCGTTGTGACTGCAGGAACAGTACCTCTGATATGTAGTCAGGAGCCTTCCCTCCAATTTCAAGATAACTCTGTCAGGTTAAGATAGCAGATATAGGAAAATTAGACTCTGGATAGCTTGGGGGGGGGTTGGTGCTGGGGATGGAACTGAGTGGACGTCTTCTTATTGCAATGAAGTTTTGGGCCACTGCAACACCTTGCTTCTGTCTGTAGCTACAGGCACTCAAAGAGAACAGGTGCCATTAAGACCAGACCATAGCCCTTTCCTCACAGAAAAGGACCAAAGGCTCAGGCCCTCAGCTCCAACTGGGTCATTTCTAGAGTATTTAAACTGCACTCAGAGAAGACCTGCCTAAAGCTTGAAATGAATGGCGGAGGGAGGCTGTGAAATTGTCTCCAGGTCTTTCTAGATACAGCTTGACCAGAGGCAGAGGGACGGACCAGATGGCAGCTCCCCTCCAATCCTGGGGTTCCGAGGAACGTAGAGGAGTTTTTCCTCTTAAGGGGCTCCTTTTCTCATGAGAACATGATTGGTGACAGTCAAGAGCTGCCAGGCCACTGCAGTGGTGGGCGAGGCTGCTCCACCCGCTGAATCAGGCTTTTGGGAGGGAGTGCTTCAAGTTGCCTCGTGAAATGAGGTTGGGAGGAGGCCTGGGGAGGGCTGCAGGTGGGTGTGGGAGGAGAGCACTCGGTGGGGGCTGGTGGCAGGGCGTGCCTGGCCTGAGAGAGCTGAGGGGAAGAGGTGGAGGTCACCTGTGCTTCCTCAGCATTCTTGGGAGCCAGCATCTGCCAGTTCTTCCTCCTCTTAACACTTGACAGGGACGAGTTAGAGACTGGCAGCCAAATTCTCCCATGTTGCAGCAAGAAGGTTTTAAGCTGGACCGAAGGGAGAACAGGATAAGATGGGAGATGAGTGGCAGATGAAGTTCATAGAATCCTTTTTTTTTTTTAAGTCTATTTTTGAAATAAAGAGGCCCCTCTGCTTCAAGTTCCTTCCTCAGCCACGGTGAATCTGATGGCCTTTGGGAGTTTTATGCCAGTTTGCATGTGACACAGGCTCTGAGGGCCACTGGAAAATACCCCTTTGTGGAACCAGGGCAACTAAGTTTAGACTGAAGAGGGAGAGGCTGGAGCCCCACAAGTAGTGTTGTGCGTAGTCAAGCCCTTTAGGAGGTGCAAATGGCAGAGCTGGAGCGGAGGGTCTGGGGGCCTGGGGGAGCTGTCACCTTCACCTAGACCAGTCCCAGTGCCCAGCCCAGACCTCGGGACTGGAGGTGTGGAAAGCCTTGCTTCTTTGGCTCAGCTTTAGTTAGCTGGTGGTATGAGTGCTACCACTGGCCCTGGAATGACAGCTGATGCTTTGGCTTCTTCCTCTGAGGTCTTTTCAGCCCTTGGGTTCTCTCAAGATTGCAGGAGACTTGCCCGCCCTCCTGGCATTTGACGGGGGCAGATGCCAAAGGATGGGATGTGTGGAAGGCTAGTTCCCACTGAGAATGCTACTGAATGAACACCTGTTGAATCAAATCAAAGGATGCTTAAGCCTGCTTGGAGAGGTTGTCTCTCTTTCTCTCTCTCAGGATGTCCTGGACTTTCCCTCTTCTGGGCAACCCAAGCCCTTGGTACATATTTCTGTCTTCACCACTCAACCCCAGTTTAAGTGATTTACTTACTGTCTTCTTTCCCACTAGATAGTGAGCTCCCCAAAGGCATACCAGAGACTTATTGTCTGTGTGATCGGTCAGTGGTCAGTTCCCAATACACAGCAGGATTCTCAGTAAATACATGTGAGTGAATGAATAATTATTAGCACAGGGTGGTCTGAGTTAAATGCCTTCTGAGTAGGACAGACAGGGAAATTATGGGGCAGAGAAGTGGGACAATCCCTCTGGGCTTGGGTCAAGAGGGAAAGCTTTCCGTCCCAGAATAAAGAAAGGCATCTCTTCTTCCCATTGAAGCGCTTGAACTTGGTCTTCACCCTCAGGACAACTGAGAGCGGCATCCTCCAGCATCCACCTCTCCATCCTCCCTCCTACACCCATCTGCCTCCATCTTCCGCCAGTCAGGTCCTCCTGGGATGTGTTGGAGCAGGCTCACACTGGCTTGGGAGAGTGGTCGTATGCTCCTCCCAGTAGCCTAGAGATGGTAGTTTGATGGGCCAGGTGAGCAAAATTGGCAAACATTGTAAACCAGTGCTTTCTCACCTGGGAAGAGCCAGTGGCTAAGCTTTTGCTAGCACACCTTTGTAGTCAGCTTGCTCAACCTACCTACTATTTATACACCTCCTCCCTTCCTTTTTCTTCCCTCTCTCCTTTCCACTTGTCTTCCTGCCTCTATTCTCCTCCCTTCCATCTCTCCTTTCCTTTTTTCAATTATTTTATCCAATTATCTATCTGCTCATCTATCCATCCATCCATTCATCCATTCATCCATCCATCCATCCATCTATCCACCCATCCATCCAGCCTTAATCCATTCTCCCTTCATTCATTCATCCATTAACTGCACAACTACCCATGCATCCATTTCCACTCATATTCATCTAACTTTTTTACTTCCATCCCTTTTGCTACATACCCACAGATGCTTTCTGGGCACCTCCTCTGTGTCAGGCTATTCCTAAAGCTCACAACATTTTCCCAGATTTCTGGAAGGCAGATGCCAGGACTGATATTGGATTTATATCCAAACCCTTTGGTTTTCCTTCTGCCTCTTGCTCAATTTGCTATTTTCCCTGTTAGCCTAGTCTCCCAGGGTAGGGGAGACACTCTCAGGAAAGAGGGAGGGGCATATGCCCAACAGCAGACCAAGACAGCACCTTCTCTCTCTCTCTCTTTCTCCTTCTGGGTCACAAGCAAGAGCCCAGTGAAGATGGGCATGGCTTTTTGAGAAGGGGTTCCTCACCCTAGAAATCCCTGTGATTTACTAGGAAATCATCAGCAAGTCCAAACAAGAAGGGTTCCTGTAGGACCTGATGACAGAGACCTCGGGTAAGAGGAGAATTCCCATCATGAAGCGAGAGTGCCCCACCTCCAATACACACCTCCTTTTAAAACCCAGCTCCTTTGTGACCGACGCTTGTCTCTGCCCTTGTTCCCAGAGGCTGTGATTGCAAAGGATTAGCCGTTCAGCCTGGCCAGCCAAGAGGTAGGGACTCCCAGAGTCTGACCTGCATTTGAGGGGAAGGAAGGGAGCCCTCTCTCTTCCACATACCCCAGAACCTGCTGCTCCAGCCACATTCACTGTCTGCCCTGCCCTGTCCAGTCCTGTGTGTGTGGGTATGGGCGGGGAAGGCCCATCCTCATACTTGGTAGAACAGCTGGCTTCCCAGGAGGCTACGAGTTGGCATGTCCTGCAAAAGCTGAGGGTCCCAGGGCTCCTCCAGGGGTTTAGGGAGAGGAAGGGATGGAACTCTCACTTTTCATCCTGAAGGTCAGGATTAATCTGAGCCCCACATGGTACAGGCCACTTTTTTTTTTTGGAGGGGATTACCAGTGGCCTGGCCTGGAGAACGTAGGCAGATTTTTCTGAGTCACACAGCAAGCCTACTGCAAGAGAGGTGAGAATCAAGTGTTGCATCCTGTGGTCCCAACCACCTGGCTAGCATTGCTCAGCTTCCCCTCAGTACTGTGTCTCAGGCCTTTCCATCCAAGCAGGTTCTGCCCTGCTCTATGAAACACCTAAGGCTGTGTACATCTCTTTAGGACTATGGGACATTGAGCGACTTCAGCAGCCATCTTCTAGAGAGAAATTTAGTGACTCCATGATACCGAAGTTGAACAAGGACTTGGAATCTCAAAAGCCTTGGGTTCAAATCCTAGCCCTGCCACTGGACTGAAGACACGAGCTATCTTCTTAGAGCTTCGATTTTCTCTTCTATTAAAAGGCATGATTGAGGATTGCGGCGAACTTTAAGAACTCACATCTGTAAAGGACCCAGGACAAGGCTGCATGTTGGCAATAATCAATAGCCATGTCACTCCAGGTCCTAAAATCCAAATCAAACTGAACCCCTGGCTCCTCTTAGGGTGAGAAGCAACTTTATGGTTCCAGGGTGGGGAAATCCAGGCCCGCAAATTACAAGGCTATTCGGCTTGTGTGACCCAATTAAGAGCCCTCTGTCCCATGGGCCTCTGTGGACACCTCACCTTCTGCCCCAGGGGCCACTTGGCTCAGCAAAGCCTTTCCACCTGTGAGGACAGAGGTTCCCGTTTCTCTAATGAGAAGCAAGTGCGTCAGATGGAAGCAGCCAGACTGGTTGCTGCCTGCGTGGTGCAAAATAATTAAACTGGGGGGGAAAAAAAAACCACTTCTTTAAAAAATCAGGTTAGGGATGAATGTGCAGGCGTGGCCCCTGTATAATTAGCCACTCTGCTGGCTGGTGGAGCTGCCTGCCTCTCCCTGGCCCGTTGTGTCAGGCTGATGCCTGCCGCTCCTCCCCTTGCTCCTCCTCCCATTCTTCCCCCACCCCACAGGTGTGTCCCTGGGCTTTGTGGCTGCTTGCCCCACTCCCTGCCGAGACACCCATCGAGGTCACCCAACCCACAGCCCCAGTGAGCAGAAACAGAGTAGCCAGCAGCCAAGTGACCTGAGATGGAAGGTGCAGACGCCTCCAGGAGCAATGGGTCCAGCCCGGAAGCCAGGGATGCCCGCAGCCCGTCGGGTCCCAATGGCAGCCTGGAGAATGGCACCAAGGTGGAGGGCAAGGACACCAAGACAGCCAACGGGCATGGTGGGGAGATGGCCGAGGGCAAAAGCCTGGGCAGCGCCCTGAAGCAAGGGGAGGGGAAGAGCGCCCTGTTCTCCAGCAATGAGTGGAGGCGGCCCATCATCCAGTTTGTGGAGTCCGTGGATGACAAGGGCTCCGGCTACTTCAGCATGGACTCTGCAGAAGGCAGGAGGTCCCCATATGCGGGGCTCCAGCTAGGGGCCTCTAAGAAGCCACCTGTCACCTTTGCTGAGAAGGGGGAGCTGCGCAAGTCCATCTTCTCTGAGCCCCGCAAGCCCACGGTGTCCATCGTGGAGCCGGGGGAGATCCGGAGGAACAGCTACCCCCGGGCTGACACAGGCCACCTGCTGCGGGCCAAGTCCGGCTCTGAGGAGGTGCTGTGTGACTCCTGCATCGGCAACAAGCAGAAGGCTGTCAAGTCCTGCCTGGTGTGCCAGGCCTCCTTCTGTGAGCTGCATCTCAAGCCCCACCTGGAGGGTGCCGCCTTCCGTGACCACCAGCTACTCGAGCCCATCCGGGACTTCGAGGCCCGAAAGTGCCCCCTGCATGGCAAGACCATGGAACTCTTCTGTCAGACAGACCAGACCTGTATCTGCTACCTCTGCATGTTCCAGGAGCACAAGAACCACAGCACCGTGACGGTGGAGGAGGCCAAGGCAGAGAAGGAGGTAACTTTACTGGACACTTGCTGCCCCTCCAGCCCTCTGCCCCTCACCCTGTATCGCTGGGGTTTCCTAGCTTTGGTGTGTCAGTCTCTGCTGTGCTTGGCTTTTTAAGAAAACATTCCTTTGCCATCTGTACCCCCAAGCTGGGGGGGTCAGAGGTGGCTCCCCAACCCCCTTGAGGTCTGTTTCACAGATGAACAAAGAGAGGCTCAGAAAAGATTGGGACTTGACCAAGGTCATAGGTTAAGTCCAAGTTGAGTTAGAGCTTAAGACTCAACTGTACAGAACTGACTCCTGGGCTCCATGTCAGACCTCAGGGTGGGAAGTGGGCTAAGAGGTACCCAGAAGGCACAGGCTCCAGGTTCCTACCTTTACAGCAAGCAAAGCACACATGTTGATCTGTTTGCTGTGCAGACACTCCTGGGGTGTTTCTTTCTTTCTTTTTTTTTTTAAGGGAGAGAAAATTCTTCCCACCTGAGCAGGACTCATCTCTAGGGAATGGGTCAGGGGTGAGGGGAGATACTGGAAGGAGGGAATTTGGAGGCCACTGAAATGTCTTCATTGCTGACTTTGCTGTTTGCATTTGCAGTATAGTGGTTGCTTGTTCTACCTGGTCCCTCATGGCCTTCTGTACCCTCCTCTCAGGAAGGGTCCTGTGTGCTTTGTGTGTGGCTGCATGTGGACATGCCCGTGCCTGTGGGTGGACACCATTGGAGAGGAAGTGTGTGTTTCATATGCATGTGGGTGTCTGTGTGAATATGGGTATTGTGCACACGTTTGTGTATGGGGTATGTAAGAATTTGCATGTGATTATGTGGTACTTATGTGGGAAGGAGCAGAGGCAAGTGGAGGCTTGTGGACACGGTGTACTGGATTAAGGATCAGCTGTGGCGGCTGCCCCTTGCCCACTCTCCTCCACAGCTCCTTGCTGTAGGTGGTCTCCCTGGGGCAAAACTTCCTGGTGGCCAATGCAGGGGACTTAGTTAATTTTCTCACAAGCTTTTGCACCCCATAGGACAGGGTAGTACAGGGTCCCTCCCTGCCTAGCCTTCCCAATCAGGAGCTCGATGACCACTCTCTGTGCCTCTTGCCCAACCCCTGAGCAGGGAAGAATGAGTTAGAGATGGGAACAGACTCAAAGAGTCCAGTAGCTTCATTTGGCCCCAAAAGAAGGTATCCCAGACTGCCCCTGTACCCTGACCCCACTGGGCTTCAAGCTTCATTTGGGAGACAGAGATGGGACAGGGGCTGTGGAGCCCATCCATAAGGACCTTACCTGGGAAGTCAGAGCAAAACAAAGAACAGGCATCTTCAGCCATCTGACTGAGGCAGTCCAGAGCCTCAGGGTACTGGGAGGTGTGACCACGTTCCAGTCATGGTTTTGCCTCTAACTTGCTGTAAGGCAGTGGAGGAATCTCTTCCTTTCTCTCAGTCTCAGTTTCCCTCTATGTGAAACCCAGGGGTTGGGCTAGACTGTTGGTTTTCAAATTCTCCCACAGAGCCCTAGAATTCTTGGAAAAGTCTTTGAAGTGTCAGGGTGAGGACAGGGCAAAGAGGTGACCAGAAAGCAGAGACTCCAGGTTCTTACTCCACCACAAGCAAAGGACATATACTGGTCTGTTTTCTATGCAGGCTTTGGCCCTAAATGTCATCTGATAAGAGGTTGTCACCACTTAAATCCTGGGTGCCCGTAAAAGAGCGGTTCTGGGGGGCAGCCCCATCTGGAGGCACCAGGAACTCCAAGTTCTTGTTCTGGTTTTGGGGGCTTCTGTAGGGCTCAGACAATCTTTGTCCTTCAGGCTCACAATGTAGGTCAGGAGGAGAGCTCAGACACACAAACAAGAGCAGGAGCACCTTCCAAGGTATGCAGAAGTAGCTGTGAGTAAACATGGAATTGTAAAGGACAGAATGCCAGGCCTGGTGGACCATCAGCCATCCCGTGAGTCTCCTACTGCTCCTTGAAGAGAGGGACACAGGCCCAGAGAAAGGAAGGGACCTGTCCAAGATCATGGTTGGAGGAACAAGCCCTTAAATCCTCTTCCAATGTTTAAGGGCACCTCAGGGAAGGGGAGGGGATGGGACATGTGTGCTTTAGGAGAAAATGCAGGATCCGCCACAGTGACTGTAATGGTGGGAAATTAGGGTAGTGTGAGGTGTGTGTGTGTGTGTGTGTGTGTGTGCACATACACATGTATGTGTGTTCACCTGCAGCACAGACACAGGTGGGGCTGAGCAGCCTGGAGACTGAGCCAAAGCAGTCTGTCTAGGCCCAGCTCAGCTGGAATGTCAGGCATGAGGGATGATGGATCAGAGTAAATGAGAATGTCAATCCTGGCTGGCACCCTCTGGAGCCATCTCCTGAAGACCCAAACACTAGCCCCCACACAACTATGTGCAAATTTCTGGGCAGAACCTGCTCTGCAGACCTGTTGGTGAGGGCCGGTGGGAGGTGAGCCCAGCCCTGTTTGGGTTGGTTGCACAAAGCTGTCGATGACACCATGCCGTGGGTGCTCGTCTGGGCCTTTGCTCTACCTACAAACTCTGAGTACACGCCTTGCTAGAAAAAAGCTGCTTGGCCTGGCAACATGACAGTTCCTTTCTCTGGTGGATCCTAGGTCACATGTTTCTCCTTCCCCCTAAATGTCACAAGGGGTCCTATAGATGTCCACTGGTCCACCCTCTGCCTCTATATATTTCCCAGACTAGGTTAAGTGGTAAGATGAAAAAAGACCTGGGCATCCCTTCCCGTGTCTAATGGCCCTTCCTTCTGTCCATCCTAAGTCCCTTCTGCTACAGCAGGCCAGGATGTTAGGACCCCTTCCAGGTGGAACACAACCTGCTCTGGATGGCCCTGTCCTGTGGTATGGCTGGCCTGGCCTCTAGGGTGATAGCACTGTCATCACAGTAAGATAAGTACTGACAACACTTGGCTGTGTGTCACTCTAGAAGGTGCCTTGTCTACTCTCTACCATTTGGCTCAGTTCAACTCTTTCACCCTGCCCCAGTGACTTTGTTTCTTATCTTGTTGCCAAACTCTTTCAGAAAGCTACCAGCTGCTGGGCATGCATAGCCACTGGTCCTTGGGTTTCCAGTCATGCTGGTCTGGGTAAACAGCAGGGCTGGGATTTGGAAAGGGGAAGCAGGCTAAAGGCCAGGGTGCCCAGGCACCACTCTCCCTAAAGGTTTTTGGGGAGAATGCCTGCTATGGGACAGGGTGTGTGACAGGAGTGGGGATAACCTGCTGGGGTGCTGAGGAAACTGGGAAATGAAAGTGGTTTAGAGACAGGAAGCAGGAAGGAAAGTGACCAGCAAGCAGGCAGGCGATGACCCATTCTGTCTGGAGCACATCTATGTGCCAGGTGCTGGGCTTGGCATTTGTCTGGCTACAAATGCAGCAGTCCAATGGGGCAGGGGTATTGTGCTGTGTAAGTGAAGAGACAGGTTCAGGGATGCCAGGAGACGCATAAGAAGTCCAGTGCTGGAAGGAGCTGAGTTTCCTCTCTATCACATTAAATCTCTTTTCTCATGGGATCGCAAGGGTCTTCTTGTGATGCTCAAATCCAGTGGGTCCCAAACAGCAGGCCTCAGGCTGGAGTCACTTGGTGACTTCATGAAGCATGGATTCCCAAGCCTTGGCCCTTGAAGGTTCTGGTTCAGGGCATTGAGGGCTGGGGTTTATATTTTTAAGTCTCCCTTGGGGATTCTAGTGGGTAGCTAGGGTGGCAATCAGAAATCTAGTCCAAATCACCACAAGGAAATTTAGGCCTAGAAAGGTGAGGTAACTTCCTCAAGGGCTCCATTCTGGCCTGTAGATGTCACCTCCCCTGACCTGAGGCTGTGAGGAAGCAGAGGGAGCGAGCAGGCACTCCACTGAAGCTGATGGAGAGATTCCGGGCTATTTGACATCCCAGTAGAAACGGGGAAATCTATCCAGCATGTCAGATTCTTATCCGGATAATTACCATGTGTCTGAGAGTACAAATTTGGCAATTAACTGGCTCATTTGGCAATTGTCACAGCCCACGGCCCATGTAGTTAATTTAGGCCAGGACAGGATCCTGGCTGGCTGACCTCCCCTTTGCTATCTAGGTACAGTTGTCCAAGTGAGTACTCAGGCGTGCCTACATCCACAGGACCCATCTAGGCTATGGCACTGCAGGCTGTGCCACCCCTCAGTTCTTAGGGAAACTCTGCCCACTCAAAGCTGCTCACTCAAAGAATTTCATAGTTAGGTGGCCCACGCAAGAGTAGTCTCAGGCATCAGAGAGGAGAGGCACCAGACAGTGTGGGAGACGGGAACAAAGAAAGCATTTAGGGACAGGCCTGGACAGGGTGAAAGGAAAGAAAAGCAGGAGGAGGAGGAAATCAGAAGGGAGGGGTGTGTGTGTGTGTGTGTGTGTGTGTGTGGACTGAGGCCAGATCTCAGGGGCTTCAACCACATTCCATGAGAGGAAGGAGGAGAAAGCTGGGGCCTCAGGGGACATGGGGAGGAAAGGGGAGGTGGTAGGAGAAGAGGGAGAATTGCCAAATTGCACCACCTGTGAGGAGGAGGGAGCCTGGGTGGCTTAGGTTAGCAGGAATGAGGAGAGGAGAGCCTGGAGCCACTGCCCCTAGAGGGGCCGCTGAAGGCCACTGAACAGAATCTCAGCCCTGTGGTTGCATCTGGGTCTTACTGCTTTCTTTCTAATCTGCAATTGGAAAGTGGGCATATCACTGGCCTCCCCAGTGGATGACTAAAGAAAATTCCTGGCACCTAGTAGATACTCATTGATCAAATTCCTGTCCTTCACCTAGTGTCACAAGGAGGACCCAGTATCTTTAGAACCTTCCCATGTTCTATTATTTCCTATATAAGAAAAATTGCCAAGCACTAGACAGAGGTGCAGTCTGACCCCAAGGCCTATTCCTCCCCAGGGTAGAACTTATCCTAGAGGAGAGAAGGGATCATTGTAGCAGCACAGTTCCCAGTCTCAGGTGCCTTTCCGAAGCTCGCTGTGTCCAGCAAGTCTCATCTTGCTGCCTGTACTGTTGGCACTGGGCCTCTCCCAGCCTGTGTTTGACTTCCCTGAAGAAAAGGAAGGCCAGTCTCTCCTCCTCTCTGACCTATTCTTCCGCCCACTGCTGCAGACAGCTCGTCGCCATTTCAGACCTGGCCTTCACACATGTCCAGACCAGTCACCTCTCCTCTGTACCTCCCAGGCTGCTGGCTGACACCTCAGCTGACCTGACACCCCTTCTTATGCTTTCTTGCACAGGATGGACTCCCAGGGTGCTGTCTCTCTGCCCTTGGCCTAGACACTGCACGGTCTAAGCCCCACTGGACTCTCCATCCCCTATACTCTGTGCCTCCTTCCTACCTCTTGACCAGTGAAATCTGTGTTCATCTAGGTGAGGCCTTTTTTCACCTACAGTTCCTGACAGGTGTCTTTTGCGTACTGTAGCTCATTCCCAGTTCTCCACTCTTTGGCTTCACCTTCTCTGGTCAAACCCACTCACAGAGGGTTAGCCCATCCTCAGCCCTCTTTACTATTCCCTTTCTGTTTTCCCCAGTGTCCAGAATCTTCAATTATTCATGTTCCAAGACTGTATTTTGCATCTTCAGCTTAATGTCTTGACATTCTGGCTCCTCTTCACCCCCTCACTCTCCTGTCTGTGCCAGGACTGGGTCCACACCACATCTAGATCCCATATAATAACATGCACCATCCTCACCACCCAGCACCACCAAGACTGACCTGAGCATACCTGCTGCTCCCTCTTTTCTGTGTCTACTGATCTGCCCCCTTCCCAACATGGTGGTTGCTACCTGGGAGGTGCCCATACAGCAGTGGCAATGGGGACAGTGCTAGCTTTGTGTTAAGTGCTTTCTGGAAGCTTCTGTCCCTGGTCCCTATCCATCCCATAACCTCCTTGAGAGGTCAGTTCGCTTACTAACGTCCATGGAACAGATGGAACAACTAAGGCACAGAGAAGTTAACTAGGGCCCCCTACCTGCCTGTGGGTGGTGGTTATAGATTCCAGCTGTTAGATTCCCATTCATATGCTCTGGGGAACCCGTCCTGAACCCTCAGTGGCTCATCCCCTTGCCTACTTTTGCTGGGGTTAGCCTGAGCCTGAGGGCAGGAGGGGATGCACTTTTGCTCTCTGCTTTCTTCCTCACTAGACCTTGTTCTGGAGTGGTGAAGTGAGGTGAGAAACCCATGTGCTGATCACTGCACCTTGAGCAGGGTTGGGAAGTCTCAGCTTTCCCTTGGCCTTGGTCTCACCCTTTAGGCATAGAAAAGTTGACTGACTAGTACAGACCTGTTGTCCCTCCTCTTGGTCTCTACCTCAAGACTGAGATCTACTCCCCAGGACTGGTCTTTGGGATCACTGGATCTGCCAATCTCTGTTTTCTGTGCTGTGTCCTCAGAGAGCATGAGGGCTGGTTTCTACCACCCACAGGAGATCTTACTCTCCCACCATCAAGTCTTCTCCCTAGTCTTGTTTCAGAGACCAGGCCAAGTCCTTATCTCTGTGATCCTCTGTTCCTGATGACCCATCTTCAGCTCTGGTGACATTTTCTATGCTGTGGAATTTATAGCCTATTGCAGGCAGGGCAGGGGCTTACTACTAATATCTTAGAGTCTCATTGCCTAAGAACCCAGGGTGTGGTGGTGGACAGGCAAACTGGACAAGGGGCTCTTTCATATGCCTTACCCACTCTCTGGACACCATTAAAAAAAAAAAAGAAAAAAAAGCCAGGACACTCTATCCACCATCAGCTTCACAGCCCCAGGTATCTGTAGCAGGTACCCCACTAGCACCCCTTGAGCTTGGTGTGGTGTTCAGAAATGGGTCACCTGCTCAGGACTCCCTGCTTATGGAGCTACCAGTTCTGGATTTATGGATTCTTCCCTTGACTATTCTCAAGGATTCCTCAAGGAGACAGCTAGAGGAAGGGGTGGACCTCTGCATTCAAAACCCACTGGTCATGGGACCCCTGAGCAATCCAAGGCTTTCTTGGATGCTTTGGTCTTCCTGCCTGTTAGGTGGAGATCATTCCCTTGTCCTCCAAGCTGGAAGGGGATTTGGGAGCCCTAGCAGGGAGTCCAGATGAACAAAAGAGGTGCCCTTGACTTACGGTTGAATGGTGTTAACCTCAGTTGCAGTAGCTTTTCAGAGAAGGGCCTTTCCCCACACAGAAGACAAGGTTGGATGTGATACCAAACTCTCAGCACAACCCTGTAAGAGTTTCTTCCCAGTCTACCCTGACCCCAACAGTCTGTGTGTCTCTGAGCAGGGTCATAGGGCCTCTCTTTCCCAGCCTTTTGAACCCTTTCCAGCCTTACTCTCTATCCTTCTCTTTCCCTAGAGGCCCTGGGGAAGAGTCCCTGTCTTGCCTAAACTGCAGATGCGTTCCTTTCTCCATAAACAGGTTTATAGCTGTGCCTGCCCAGACACAGTCCATGCCGGAGGCAACTCTGACTCCTGCTTGCAACATGAATCCTGCGTCATGCCACAGAAACGCTGCACACTGTTACTGCCATGAGACACTCCCTGGGCTGGGCTGAGCTGGGCTGAACTAGGCTGGGTCCCCCTTCTCTCTTTCTCTCTCTTTCTGATGTCCCCAGGTCCATTGAAACGAGCAAAAACCTCATAAATGAGCATCCCTTCCACTCATGGTAGGTGGAGGAGCCACAGATGTTTAGCCCTTATAAAGACACAGTACAGTGATATGGTGTTTCACTTGTTGTAGGAACCTTGGCAACCAGCATGGAGCCTGGCTTATGCAAAGTCCTGATGAACATTTGCTGAATAGAAGAATGATGTGCAAGCAGAGAGTTTGCTCCCTGGGTGGACCCATGGCCAAGGTGTCTGGTTTTGTTCCCTCTCATCCCTCTGACTTATCCAACCCTGCTCCTTTCCTACAGACAGAGCTGTCACTGCAAAAGGAACAGCTGCAACTCAAGATCATTGAGATTGAAGATGAAGCAGAGAAGTGGCAGAAGGAAAAGGATCGCATCAAGGTGAGCAGCCCTAGGCTCCCCCTGCTGGGCCCTTACCCTCTTGTCCTGCCTGGTAGGAGGCAGGTCTGGTCCCTGTTGAGGTTTCAGCCTGCAGTGACATCACACACGTCTTTGTTTTGGATTCACCCACTCTCTTACTCTTCCCTTCTCAGTCTTGACTGAGTCATCCAGGTGGGATCATCCCTGTCACTTGAAGTTCATTTTATATCATTTCAGGAAAAAAAGCCTGCAATGTCCACCAGACTACTCAGCCACCAAATACATGCCATCTCTCCTATGCTTGTGCCAGTGTGGCTAGATGCATGCCTGCCATGGTTTGGGTCATTAAAAACCACAGTCTGAAATTACTGACTATTGGCCCTGGCTGCATGGATAGCCAGCCAATTCCCTTTCCAAATGATGTTTGGTTCTGACTAGGGTATCAGTGAACACATCCCAACTTGTGGAGAGGTGTCTGGGCTCACAGGGAGTCACTCAAGCATGGAATGGTGGATCCACAGTGGATTAGGAAGGATGAGTTGTAAAACACACTGTTCATGCAGCAGTAGGTGGTATCCCTCTGAATGAGATTCGTGACCAAATAGGCTTGTCAAGCCAGAGCAGTGGGAATGCCCTTATCTAATGTTGGGAACCTAAAGATGTGTTCCACAAGGAGGCATTTTTTTCCTTAATTAAAGCCTTTTCTGTCCCTCTCCTGACTCTGGACCTAGAGCTTCACCACCAATGAGAAAGCCATCCTGGAGCAGAACTTCCGGGATCTGGTGCGGGACCTAGAGAAGCAAAAGGAGGAAGTGAGGGCTGCCCTGGAGCAGCGGGAGCAGGACGCTGTGGACCAAGTGAAGGTGATCATGGATGCTCTGGATGAGAGGGCCAAGGTGCTACATGAGGACAAGCAGACTCGAGAGCAGCTGCATAACATCAGTGACTCAGTGCTGTTTTTGCAGGTAACAAAAGTCCTCCACCATTCAAACCCTCAATCTCCCCTCCCAGCCCATCTACTTTTCCACACCCTTATCCATTATCCATCCATCTGTCATCCATCTATCCATCTAATCCATCTTATTTTATCTTTTCTTATTGATCCATCCATCCTTCTCTCTAGGCGTGCATGTATCCATCTATCCATCCATCCATCCATCCATCCATCCATCTAATCTTCATTCCATCTATCTATTGATTTTTCCATCTAGTACACTTTTCTGCCTACTCTAAAGATGGCACATAAGTATTACCTTGTACCAACTTCAATTGCTGTAGGCTCAGAAGGAAAGAGCTCTGCGATTGATAAGTAATGCCTGCTTTGGATAAGGGAGGAGTGGAATGCTGGGTATTTGTTATCTTTGATCTAGTCTGTTTGTCTATTCATTCATCTATCTTTCTGTCTGCTAGAATGTTTTGGGTACTTTTGGGTGCCCAGTACTCTTATTAGGTGCTGTTGTGAATACAGCAGTATAGGACATGGTTTCTGCCCCCAAGCAGCTGCAATCCAGCTGGGAAGATAAGACAGGTACAATTAGAGAACAATATAGGAAAGCGTGTAATTAAATGATAAAGCATATAGCTCAGGAGATAAATTACTGGGAATTCAGAGAAGGGCAAGCAGGCTAGAGCAATGTAAGGACAGCTTTGTGGAGGAGGTGGAATCTGAATTAGGGTTTTGCAGGCTAATTTGAGAAGGAGGAGGAATCTCCAGGGAGGGGGAAGGGAGGTAAGGTGCACAAAGGCAGTAGATGCAGGATTGAGTGAGGTGTGTACAGAACTTACTAGAATGCTCTCGTAAGTCCTGCATTTCATTATGCTTTCATCCCAGCATCACAAAAACCCCTGTGAGGTAGGCACACCAGTGCAGAGATGGGAGCCATAGAGTCGGAGTCACACACCTGAATGCTAATTCCTTCAGACTGTTAACCCCAGTGGATTTTAGTTGAACTTTTTTACCCATTGAGGAAAAGCGAGGCTAATTAATTGAGCCAATTCTAGAACCCAGCTATTGTGGCTCCCAGCATGGAATCTTCCAGCTAAACTATGAGAGCCCCTTTGCAGACAAATGTCCTCATAGCTCATAAAGACTTAGGAAATTAATGTCTTCTTTCCTTTCTTGGTAGGAATTTGGTGCATTGATGAGCAATTACTCTTACCCCCACCCTTGCCCACCTATCATGTCCTGCTGGAGGGAGAGGGCCTGGGACAGTCACTTGGCAACTGCAAGGATGACCTGCTCAATGTATGCATGCGCCATGTTGAGAAGATGTGCAAGGCTGACTTGAGCCGGAACTTCATTGAGAGGAACCACATGGAGAATGGTAGGTGTGCTCATGTGAGCAAGTCCAAGGCCATGAGCATTTCTCACCCTTGTCAATTCCCTTCCTTCCTCCCTCCCTCCCTCCTTCCTTCCTTCCTTCTTCCCTTCCTTTCTACTGGGTATTGAACTCAGAGCCTTGTGCTTTTTAGGCAGGTATTCTACCACTTGAGCCACTCCTCAGTCTTCTCTCAGATCAATTCCTGCTGCCTGGTGCAGGCTGGCATGTAGCTGGCATGGCTCTTCACTTTTCCTACCACCCTTCCACTTGACAGTGTCTGGACTAGAATTCAGGAATTGTAGCTTCCTGTTGAACTTGTAGTTATTACAAGGGGCCTCCAGAGCAGTGAGATTCTGGGCACTGGCTGCCCGAGAGGCTCCTGTCTGTGAGTCATCCATTAGAGTCAGGGAATGGTTTCATTCATATTCCATTGGATTGTTGGACTCAACCTAGCAGCTGCATTCTGCTGCTTTTATGAACCGGCTTCCAAACTGGTGGCTGCAGGCTCCAGGAGAAGTGACCTAGAATTGCCTCTGTGCTTGGAGGGAGGACTTGCCTGTCACCATGGCTGTGTTGAGCAGTGTTGAGCCCAGAGGCTGGACTTAGCCTGCTAGGCTAGGCTGGGCTGGGCTGGGGATGATGGGTTAGAGTGTGTCTCTATGACTCACCAGCTCCTCTGATTTCAGCCCCTCATCTGAGTCATGCTATCCCTGCAGAGGTCAACTGAATCATCTCCCAGAGAGCCTTGGAGCCTGAGAAACTACCCCGTTAAGTTGTTTTTCACCAAGTCCTTTTATGGCCTGAAGCCTGGGCACTTTCTCCAAGGCCCCACCTGTGGCCAGCACACTCTTTAAAATGCAATTTGATCAAGGTCTTCCAGCCATCAACACCTGAAGTCAATGACCCAATCTGGTCTCCAGGTGGAGCACATTACTCTTTGGGGAGGGAGGAGGGACTAAGAGTGTGTAGAAGGGTTGAGCAAAGAGCCACCTGTGTATCTTAGTGATACAGTGTCCCTGTGAAATATGGGGGACATTCAATCACACTGGAGGACAGATAAGCCATTGTAGCAAGACAATCATTTGGCTTTCAATGGTACTCAGTTCCTGACAGCTTCTTCCTAATGACAATAGTGATGATCGTAATGGGGATGGTGACACTGACGTGATTGAGTGTTCCCTGGATGCTAGCATTGCGCTGAGCTCTTCACTTACCTTACCTTATTTTCCCTGCGGGGTGCAGTGCATCTTACAGATGAGAAAGCTGAGGCTCAGAGAAGCATCATTTCAAAGGGCACCCAGCTGGGGAGGGAGGCTGCTGGGTTCACGGTCTGTTACTCATTCTTCCAGTGCCTTCTCATCCTAGAAACTTCCACCAGTGCTGCTGATAGCAGCAATGGGATGGAGTGAGTCGACCATTGTCCCTGGGGGTACAAGCCTTGTAGGGCAGCCTCTTAGATGAGGTTTAGCCAGACCTGGAAGGATGGCCCTGACAGACTGGGGTAGAGTGGCTTTACTGGAACCATTAGCCTCCAGCTACTCACTGTCCCATTTGTAGGTCACGATATTGCTTGCCATGGCCTCTGTGCAGGTGTGGCCCCTCATCCTGTGCAAGGTGATGCTGAGGTGGCAGCCAGGATCAGGGTTGGGTGCTGCTGATTCAGCAGTCCTTCATCTGTGTCTGGGATACAGAGGGAGCCTTCTTTGCTTATACATTGTCATGTTTTTGTCACTGCTTTGTGTCTGCTGTAGCAGGTAGGATGGGGAGCCTGTGAATCACCTTGGAGTGACCATCTACTGCTCCCTGATAGTGGCCTGTCCACCAGACATGGGACTCATTGCCACCCTTACAGGTCCTGGGGCTCAGAGGTACCAGGCCACCTTCAAACACCTTGAGCTCATTGGGGCCGAGGGCTAACATCCAGTCAGTACACGTGCCAGGACCCTGCTAGATGCAGTGACGGAGATGAAGGATGAGGTCTGAGCCACTCATTCCTCCTCTTGCCCAGGAGAGAAAAGGGGAGAGGGCAACTGGGGGAAGTCTGGTGTTGAGTTGCAGATTTGTTTGGTTTTGGGGGTATGTAGGCAGGTGGTGCACATCTCAACTGCCTGGATCCCTGGGCCATGGAAGCCAATCCTGGGACCTCGTTCTATCATCAGATTCTGCCAACAGTGGTTCAGACTAAGATGCAAAATGGGGGCTTAGGATTCAAACCCCCAACTCTGCCCTTATTGGCATGTAACATGGAATAAATTGCCTCTCTTACCTCCTGAGTCTTGATTTCCATATCTATCACATGGAGACGTTCATACCTTCCCAAGAGTTGATATAAGATCAAAAACAAATGGCTACCAATAGCAACTTGTAAACTGCAAAGTGCTGGGCATACAATGTCACTCTCAAGGGGACAGTCCAACAAGGGGGACTGACTCACTGCTGAGGAGCAGAGACCATGCCAGGCTAGGTGTCACCACATTCTCTGAGGCTGTGGAATCTTGGCTGTTGGGATTGAGGAGGATCTCACAGTGGGCCAGCTCCTCCCCACCACTTGCCCCCTCTGCTGACCTCTCTCCTTCCAGGTGGTGACCATCGCTACATGAACTACACAAGCAGCTATGGGAGCGAGTGGAGTACTCCTGACACCATGAAGAGATACTCCATGTACCTCACACCCAAGGGTAAGGGCAAGCCTGCTGCCGAGGGCCCCTGGGTCCATGGAGTAATACTCAGCCAAGTTCCTCCTGGGTGGGCTGACCTAGTCTAGAGTGCCTGGGAAAGTCCAGACATCTACCTGTTGTCCCAGTATGATTATGAGCAGCGCGTCCTTTTACTCTTAGGGTGACAAGTCTCCCAGTTTAGATGACAAATTATCCGGCACCCTGCTCCTGCAATGCGTCCATCCCTGGACACAGGCAGCCCCTCCCACCTCTCTTTAGCACCCTGTTCTTCGGAAGGTCTCCTGGTCTCTGCCGTGCCAGGCCAGGCTGTGTCAAGCTTCCACTGAAGTTTCTATGGGTTCCTAGCCTGTGGGTGGACTGCTGCCTCCAGAACCAGTCTGCTCCTCCTCTTAGTTTCTTCACCTACTGCCTGACTCCTCAGGCCTCCCTCCCCAGATCTCCAGCCTACAGGGTGACACCTGCTGGGGTGTAGGCTAGGGCCTGCTTGTCCTTGCCCTGGGGCAGCCTGACACATTCTTGGGCACCAGCACCAAACCACAGCAGTGCCCATTACATAAGGGAGCATGTGTCAGGTTGCCAGCCCAGGATGGAGGGGGTGTCTTTGGGTGACAGGAGCTGGGAGAACAGTGCAGGAGGGGAGGAAGGAGACGTGGAGCAGGTACAAGCTGAGAAGGGGACACCAAAGTCCTGAGCAGCACACACACACACACACACACACACACACACACACACACACACACAGAATCACACACATGCAGACACACCCACAGGGGGAGGGGCTGGGGATTTGAAGAGATGAGCTCACTGGAGAGGAACCTCTGCACCCCGCCTTTGAAAACAACACCTGGGCTTCTCAGGAGGTCTGGGGCCAGAGCCACATTCCCCCTCCACATTCCTGGCCTGGGCCAGACCCCTTTGCCAGTGCTGGCCCCTCCCTGTTCAGAGCACTGCTCTTTTGGGCCAGTGCTGTAAAAAGATGAGCCTCACTAACCAGTATGGCAGCTTCCCTCTGTCCCCACTGCAGGCTGTGAGGAGGAGAGAGTGAAACCTACTAAGATGTCTCTCTGAGAGTTCCAGGCCCTGGCCTGGGTGACCTGAGGTTGGTGTTTGCCCATTCTGGCTTTAGTCTCTCTCTGAGACGAGAGGCAATGGGTCTCTAGGGCCATAAGCCTTCCCATCTTTGAGCCAGTTTGTGACATCCGTAGGTGGAAGAAACAGGTTCGTCCAGTGTCCCTGCCCCGACACTGTGGGTAGAGTCCTGCAGGGCAGGAGGGGCAGAACATCTGCCCTCTGCTGCTCCCAGGCTCAGGGTAGAGGAGAGGTAAGGGAGGGGCAGATGAGATTATTCAAAGAGGTCAGGGAAACAGGGACACCCAGGCCCTGAGCCTGGAAGCCTGGGGTCAGTGGGACTAGGCAGTGACTGGGAGAGCTTAGTTTCAAGTCTCCCTGAAGGAGGAACTGTGTGTACAGTAAGGAGGGCATAAGAGTGATGGGCAGAGGGCATTAGGGCAAAGGAAGGAATCACAGGCATAGTCGTAGAGGAAGGGCCAGTGAGTGCTGGGCCTGCTGGGCCAGACTTGGAGGTGGGGTACATGAAGTTTAGGTGAGAGGGGCAGAGCCAATTGGAGGGGCCCAAAATACATATGAGCTCATCTTCTGCACCTGTGAAGTGGGAGATCCATTCCCTCTCCTTCCTCATGATCTGTGTGGGAGCCCCTCCCATTGTAGATGTAAGCCACAGGCAGTCCTGACATTAAGACATGTTCCTGTTCCTAGCTGGCTCATTGGCCACCTGGCTCATTGGTTCAGCTCTCACTGGGCCAAAGGCCCAACACCTCTGCCCCTATTGTTACCAAGGCCTCTCCTTCCTCCCAAGCACCCCATTCCCCAGCCTCTGGAGTTTCATTCACATGGAGACTGGCTCAGAAGGGAAATGTTGGCTTGTCACCCATCTGGTGACCCCTAAGTAGGGCATCCCTATATCTTACTATATCCAAGACCATCCAAGCGAACCCCAATGACAATCAACAGAGCCCCTTCCACTCCCCAAAGGATCCCCATTTGAATGATAAGTGATCACTCTGTATGAGACCCAGGACTGCTCTTAATGGTGGAGTCCAAGTCCTGTGGTGGGCACTTGGGGAGCTATATGGGGTCCTGCCCAAGATCCAGTAGTCAGAGACCTTGGGTGCCTGAGTCAAGCCAGATCCACCTTTCTGCAATGATGGGCCTTCTTGCTCTGCCTTCCAGGTGGGGCCCGGACATCCTACCAGCCTTCATCTCCCAGCCGCCTCTCCAAGGAGACCAACCAGAAGAATTTCAACAATCTCTATGGCACCAAAGGTAGGATGGGGTTCAGCTCAAGGGTTGGAAGGATCCCATGTCAGGGAGCAGGTGGCAATATGGGGGTGGGAGCTAGGGGTAGACCATGGGTAGAGGGCTGGACTCCCCAGTTTAAGATGAATATGGGGAGCCAGGGTAGGATGGGTCCTTCAGAGATTATAGTGTATGCATGCTTGCATGTGGACTGCACAGGCATGCATGACTTTATTAATTAGGCAGTAGAGGCATTCAGAATCTCAACATCACTGGAAATCAGTCTGTGTGATTTGAAAGATGATTGAGTCTGGAGAAATGGATAAGCGCCATCCTGGGGTTAGATCTGGTGACCCCCTCCCCAACAATTATCAGCACACGAGCACTCACAGAAGACCTCTACTGACTTGTACTTCTATGTAGAAAAGTCACACAGTGCTTAAAACAGATTAGCATAGCTGTGAATGGAAAGGAAGGCATGACATGGGTCATTCCTGGAAACCCAGGAGGTCTTGTCGTAACACCTTAAGACCCAGAAAAAGTAAAATAGAAGTGGAGACATGTATCCCCAGGGGAGCTGCCAAGGGCAGGGTGTTCCTCTTCCCAGAGTGCTGCTCTGTGCCCCAGAGCAGAGACATGTGCTCAATTAGTCCTGGTTTGGGGGGCTCTGGTTCTGTCTTGGGGGCTTCTGGGTGCTGCCTGCCAAGTGCAGGGAAGAAGGAGACTGGACCAGTCCACCAGAATCCCCGCTCTTCTAGTGCCCCAGACACAGCATGGAAAGACTCTTTAGTGAGGACCAAGCCCATGGACACTGGAGTCTGGGCATCTGGTGGAGAGGGCAATACCCAGGCATCTCTGGCCTATGTTAGACTCATAGCTGTGACCAGCCATGACCCTGTTCTCCACACTCTCAATAGCCTGTGAGCTCTTGGAGGGCAGGAGCAGGTCTGTCATGCTCAGATTGCAAGCCTAAGGCCCAGAAGTGGGAGATGCTCAGGACACAGTTATTGAAAGACAGCAAGAAGAAGTAGGGAATGAAAGGGCCAGCCCTCTCGCCTCTCAGGCCTTGGTGGAGATGCTCATTGAGTACCCTGCCACAGAAGCTTCCTGAGATCCTTGGGGGGTAGGGTGTGTGCCAGGGCAGGTGGCCAGTCCCAGCTCTCTCTGAGCCTCAGCGCTGCCTGGGGCAGCTGTGGGAGGGAACCGCAGAGATCCATGGCTACTGCTGAGGCACCAAGAGCTTGGGGATGCTGCGAGGGGCTGGGGAAAGGTGCATCATGCCTGGGGCCTCTGAGCCCCTGACTCTACTGTGCTCTTGGTACCTTGATGTTCTTCCTATCCCCTCTCTGCCATCACCTCCTCTATACTACAGGGCCATCCTTGCATCTGGATATCTGTTAGACTATTCAATCCAGCAAACAGGCTTCCAGGGGTTCTGTTGGCTGCCTCTGTCCCCAAGTTTTGGATGTGTTTATATTTATTTTTTCATTTGTTCAAGCATGCACCCATCAACCACACAATAAGTACCTACTAGGAGCTAGGCTCTAGGCCAGGCACCTATGTAATGTTTGGCTAGATAGGCATATACCTGGCCCCCAGGAGCCCTGGGGGGAGAAATAATCAAACATGCAATTGCAACCCAGGGCACAGGAGTGCAGGGTGATATGGGGTATGGGACTGAGGCACACACAAACTTGGGGGGAGGTGGCATGTAAGCTGACACATGAAGACCCACTACATGAATTTGTGAGGGTGGGGAGCAGGTGGGTGCCCCAGGCCCAGGAGTCACTCTGGCCTAAAGCCGAGGACAAGAGAGAAGCTGGTGTCTGGGGAAGTGTGAGCGAGCCTCTGCAGCTTGATTGGAGTGCTGAGAAAGGGAGGGGGTGATGAAGCTGAGGAGGCAGTGGGGTTGGTGGGGAGAGCTCATGCAATACCTCAAGACCTAGAAGTGAAACGGGGTAGGGACATGCATACACAGGGGAACTGCCAAGGGCAGGGTGTCCTCTGCCCAGTGTGCTGAAGGGACCACTGTGCCCCAGGCCAGGGACATGTGTTAAGGACATGTGGCCTATAGGAAGCACAGAAACATGTCCACTTTATACCTTTGATGGCAGGAAGGACTGAGAGTAGGGGAGAGAAGCTTGACAGGTAGCAAAGAACCAGAGGGAGAGTCACAGAATTGGCCTTTTCTTGGTCCTGCCTCCCTGCTTCAAGGTCTGATGCCCCTTCTTTTGCCCTGCCAGGGAACTACACGTCCCGTGTCTGGGAGTACTCATCCACTATTCAGAACTCTGATGACTTGCCTGCGGTCCAGGGCAGTTCCTCATTCTCCCTGAAAGGTGAGCTGTCCCACTCTGGCCCTGCTTTCCTTGCAGCTACCCCACTTTGATCTCTGCCAATTCCTCCCTCTTCTCCTAAAATGACAGCCAAGGGTATGGGAGGAGTGCTCTGGGTGGGCCCCAGTAGCTCTCAGGGTTTGTATCCATGAAGATGTGCTGTGATAGCAGGGCTGGGAGACAGGAGGGGGTGTCCACTCCCCCTGTGCCTCCACCTGCAGGCCAGGGCACTGCTGCCAGGTTGACTCTCCTGCTGCAGAGTTGATTAACATTGCTCTCTTCATGACTTCCTGCATTGGTTGACTAGACTCTGGGGCCCTGTAGCACCCTTCAAGACCCCCAGAGCCATTCTAAGGAAGCCGCTTTGGGGAGGTGGGATCAGATAACTTGAAAGATCTTCCAAGTCTGATCCTCTTTCTCCTACACCCATCCCACACCTGCCTTCTGTGCCCTCCAGAACTCTTGGGCAAATCTGAGTGGTCAATGCCTCCTGTCCCCTGGGGTTGGGCTTGAATAAGACCCCTGTGTACTATAGGCCCCGGACTCCCACATCTCTTCTAATAAGTCCTAGGAACAGCCCTGGTGGGCTGGGGCAGGAGAACCCTGTCTTCCTCTGACATGCCTAGCCTGGAAGGAAGGATAAGATGCTCCTCCCCAGGGAGGAAGAGAGAAAGGGGCTGTGTGGGGCACACAGAACCCCACCCCACTTCCCAGCAGTAGCCACCAAGGTGGTTTTTATCACGTGGTCCCTTCTAGACTAAGGTTCTAGCCTATACTGGGTCAGGATTCTTGAATGGCCAGGAAGATAAAGGAAAAGGGAATATGAGTAAGGGGGTCCCAGCCTGCAGGATCCCCAGGAAAGTCCTAAGCCAGGTCTGGAAAGCTCTGGGACTTGCCTTGGCCTATCTGGCTTTCAAAAAATTCCTCCCTGCTCCCTCGTCAAGCCTGTGCTGAAGGCCACCTGGCACAGAAGACAGCTGCCCTTGGCACAATTCAGATGGTCCCCAATGTTTCCCATTGGCCTGCACAGACTCTCCTGTCTAAGGCCTCTTCCCAGGAGGGCTTCTCAGATACACTGCTGGAAGAAGAGTCCTCAACACCCATTCTTACTTGCATGCAGAGCAACTCATCAGGTTGGCTGTGAATGGCCCTGTGTGTAAGAAGAGTTCTAGCCTGCAAAACTGAGTGCACCAACACCCCTCCAGCAGCCCCACAGGCAGGGAGCGTCTGGGCTGCCTGGCCAGTTCCAGGGGCTGAGCAAGGGTGCAGAGCACAGACACAGAGTGCAGAGCGGAATACCCCAGAGCGGTGTGAGAGCCCTGGCCTCCCGGACAGCGCACAAGCTAATGCCTCCCTCTCTCTCCCAGCAGGCACTGGGAAAGGCCCCTGTCAGTTCAGCACCCTGGGACAGGCCTCTGCCGAGTTTTCCAAGCCACTGGACCGCAGTGGGCTGTTTAAAAATAATCCTGGTACCTCCCGTTTTCCACACCTCCCCTTTCCTCTCCCACAGCAGGGCAGGTGGGACATCCTGTGGGGGCTGTCTGCCACTTCTAGGGTGTCCTGGTCCCTCCTCCCCAGAGCTCCCTGGGGAGAGATGCATGTCCCCTATTCCCGCCATCCTGGCTCATTCTATCTGGACTTCTGCCTGCTGCCTGAGGCTGGTCTTTTGGGCCACCCTGCCCCCATCCCCACCTCTTATGGCTAGCATGGGGTTTTCTTTCTGGGAACTAAGAGGCAAGGTCTGAATTCCCCTTCTCTCCATCTCCATGAAGGCCCATGGAATCCTCTTTCCTAGGCTGCCCCAATCCCAGATACAGGGATAGCCCTGGGGTTCTAGCTCTATCTCCCCACCTGCCTCTTGCTCAGTGCCTCGGGAAGTGCTGCAGGTGGTCTGGACTGCCCTCACCCTTGTGTAGAATAGGGCAGGGCAGGGTTCCCTGGGTAAGCTTCAGTCTTGCTGAGCAGGGGACCAGCCAAGGACAGACCCTGTTTATTTCACAAGCTTCTTAGCCTCCAGGTCACAGCCTATTTCTTTCCAACCATTGCTGCTTGTCCCTGCAGGCTGATGGCTGACATCAAGAGTACTTTTTGCTGTTCTGTAGACCAGAGCTCTTTGCAGATCCCTCTGGACTTGAGGGGGCAACCAGCACTTGCTCACCAGCCTAAAGAAAGCTACCTGCTCAGGGCCCCCTTGGGTTTGCTGTCCTACCCCTGGACAGTAGCCACAATGGCAAACACTGCCCCTCTGTGGGCCCTTGTCTCCTGCTGGCGAGACAGGGCAAACATGAAGAGATGGGCCGAAGGAACAAGAATATGAATGTTGGAATTTGGCAAGACCTGTTTTCAAATCCTGATGGCTGCTTACTAGCTACACAACTCAGGCAAACTGCTGAGCTCACAGAGACTGGGGAAGGGCTAAGTGAGGAGGAGACATAGGCGAAGCCCCTGCCATAGTACTTGACACTACTTGGGTTCAGCAAATGGGAAACATCACTCCACACAGCACAGTGGAGTCAGGAGCTCCTCCTGCTCTTCTCTGGGGCTCCAGGAAGAAGAGGAGTCCATGGTGTGAGCCTGCAGGGCAAGTGGGCAGATATTCCTGCACCATAGCTGTGTGATGCTGTCTGGGCCCAGCCCACCTGGCCGACTCCTCCTCCTTCTGTCTGCCTTGCTGCTTCCTCTCTTTGGCTAGCCTCCCCAGGATTTTCAGTTGCCTATTGTGGCACTTTGGCTGCTGTATACCTCTGCAGGTGGCTGCATTTAGTACTGGGCAGGATGATGTTTGGTGGTTACTTTGGGGCAGGCAGCTGGGCTGCTCCAGTCTTAGGGGCCCCTGACCAACACCCAGGGCTTCCTCTGACCAGTGTCTTTTGTCTTCTCAGGCTATCCCTCCCTCATGAGGAGCCAGACCCCCAAGGCCCAGCCCCAGACTTGGAAATCTGGCAAGCAGACTCTGCTGGTGAGTAAGATATTGTTAGAAAGCTGCCTGGCACAGGTTACCCAGAGACCAGGGCAACTGCTCTTCATGTTTCCAGGGTCCGTGGAAACCCTGGGCCTTGGTGAGCATAGGGGAGAGATATAACAAAGATAGTAGAGGCATAGGGTTTATAGGCAGGGCACCTGGATAAGCACACACTGACTGAGCCTCAGTTTCCTAATCTGAAAAGTGGACAACCTGTGTTTTTATTTGCAAGTGATTGTAGAGTGCCTATGATTGGTGGTTTGTTCTCCAGCTGCTCTGTGATTGTAAAATGCTCAGTCTAGGGGACGGGCATACTGGGAAGATTTCCATCTCTGAGAGCACAGAGGCCACTGGGTCAATAGTGTAGGGGTAGGGAGGCTGGAACAATAGAAAAAGATGTATTTAGGGTTCAATATCAAATGATTCTAAGCCAGGGGCATCAGAAAAGCCCAGGCCACCTGCTGGCTATGGCATTCTGGATAAGCCAGAAACCCTCTTTGTGACTCTGTCTTCATTTTTATAATGGGATTGCTGAGACGAGGTGATCCCCAAGGTTCTTCAGGCTTGATGTGCCTGACACCCTCCTGCCTGAGACCTCAGTGGTCAGGGACTGTTGCTCACCTGCTGTGCCGCCATCTCCCCCAATTCATTCCTCCCCTGTGCCAGGCCCTATGAAAGTCGTTGGCCAGTGACCCTACCATGCAATAGCACTGGGTTTGTTGAGAACAGAGGGCGGAGCCCTTGGCTCCTGCTGTCTTTGCATTTGGAGGTCAGAGCTCGAGAGGCAATTGCTCTGGACCACAAAGGGTGGCTGGATTGGAAACCTTTAATTTGAGGGTGAGGGGAGCTAAGTGATCAGGTGTGTAGTTTGGAACTGGGCCCAGGGGCATCACAGCAGCAGGATATGGGAAACAGATATGGGAGGAAGGAAGTTTCTGTGTGGGACTCATTCCTTCCCCTCCCTGACCCATACTTCCCCACTTTCCCAGACCTGGGTCCCACATAGACGGCTCCTCAACACCTGGAGAACCTAGCAGGACAGAGTTCTGGTGTCTGATCAGCATCCAGCACCGGAAGGGTGGAAGCATGTACTGTGTGTATGACTAGCTTGAATATCAGGTTGCCTGGGGTCTGGTCCCAGCCCTTGCCAGCTTGCTGTATGACCTTGTGGGAGTCCTCCTTCTTCCCTGCCTCAGTTTCCCCATCTGTAACATGAATTGGATGACCTGGATGATTTTGGAGCCCTTTTAACTTTCACACACTTGTGACCCTGAGTCACAGAGGGATGAGGGGGTTGGGGATGGGCACTCTGCCTGGGTTCCTGCTCATCTACCACTCCAGGTTCAAGACTTTGGCCACTTCCAGCTCTACCCACTTTGCATTGTGAACTGCATTGGGGTCCAGGCTGGCAGCCAGGGATCAGGGATCTGGTTTCAGTCTCTGCTCTGCCACTGGGTAGCTGTGTGACTTTGTCTATGTCCTTTCCTCTCCTTGGGACTCAGGTTATTTGTTATTTGGTGGCTTAACCCGGCTCTGGGCTAAGGACCCTCAGTCCTGGTATTCCTCAGGAATACCAGTGGATCAGACACGAGCTAGGAGTTGGCTGGGAGATGTCGGGGCCCAGGTAGAGAGGGCGAGGACAGGGCTATGACCATCCTTAAGTGTGTGTGTGTAAGATGCTGTTTCCTGCATGGGGATCAGGGGCCATGAGCAGACTCAGTCTCTGACCCAGCTCAGGGACAGGTCCACTTTCTGAGACCTTCTAGGGTCCAGTGGTGTTCACAGGGTAAGTACTAGCCAAATTTTGCTCTCGGGGGCGGAGATTGGGAGGCAAGGGGGCTGCTGATTTCCTGAAATTGTGGTGAGACAAGATACACAGAGAGGGCTGGTGACTTGTCTCTGACGCTATCTGGAGAGGCGAGCACTCCCTGAATATGGATGAGGAGCACAGGATGAGGGAGGTGAAGGGACTGGAAGATTCAGGGCCTATGTTGGGCAAAACCAATGGTTTGCCCAACTCTGTCAGGGAGAATCATGCAGAGAGAGCTGAAGCAGTAAAGCCATTGAAATGGGAGAAGGGATGCTGAGATGCATAGGAGCAGGATGGGGTCAGGGGAGTGGGGAGGACTCAAATCCTGGCTCCTCTATTCACTAACTTGTGACCTTGGGCAAGTTGCCTAGCCTCTCTATGACTTGGTTTGCTCAACTATAAAGTGGATATGATAACAGTAACTTAGTTAATGGATGGCTGTAAAAACTAAATGAGTCCATCCATAGGAAGCACTCAACACAGGGCTGTAGAGTTCTGTAGAGCATGAAGTGCTATATACATGGTAGCTGTGGGGAGCTGGGAGGGCCTTGAGACTGTGCCCAGATTCAAGCTCATCAACCAAATGGCAGAAATGAACCCAAAACTCAGCTAGCATTATAGATCAACCCTGATCTCAGGATAGATAGAACTTACAGGTCAGGCCCACTGCTGCTTCAGGGGAAATGGGGGCTGAGTGGGCTGACTTATGGGTTCAGCTCCATCTGCCTGCCCTAATCACTCTTCTTTTCCCCACAGTCTCACTATCGACCATTTTACGTCAACAAGGGCAGCGGGATCGGGTCTAACGAGGCCCCCTGAGCTCACCAAGAGAGATGCGGCTCTTCACCCCTGTCTCCTGCCACTCCTGCCTTCTAAGCTACTGTGCTCTTGGGAGGAAGGGGTCAGGGAGCCTGCCCAGCCCACCCTGCCATCCTGCAGCCTTTGCTAGCCCTCTCAGGGCATCCCTGGCTCCTTCTGTTCCTCCACCGGCCAGGTTCCATCCAGACCTCTTTCCTTCTTGGTGACTTGGGATGGTCACCACTGTGGCTCCTGTGCTCAGAGGCCAATCCACTGCAGGGGTGAGAGACAGGTGGCTTATCTCCCCTAACCCACCCCCTCCTCTTCTGGGGCTGGGTCACTGGGCCCACATGATACTAGTCTGCCCCCCGAGCCCCGCCAGTGCTCTAAGGTCTCCTCACCTGATGACCATTTCTCTCCCGTGCAGTCAGTAGATGTTTGGCCAGGGCAACCACCCAGCATCCATCCTCACAGACCTACCTTCTTCCTAGCAGCTTGGCCCTATCAGGAGAAGACTGGTACTATGGGCCTCTTAGGCAGAAGCCCCCCAGTGTCTTAGCCTCACCCTGCCCTGGCTGTGGGTCTCCACCATGTCCATTTTGAGGCTACAGTCCTTGGAGGACCAGCTGTCCTGCCTAGCATAATGGTCTTAGCCAAGGTATTCCTGTCTTCTGCCTGCTAGGATAAGCGATTCTTTATTATCTACCCAAGAAACAGCCACCAGCCCAGTTATCCTGAGTGAAATACCATTTACCTGCAGAAATCCCTTCACATTAGAACTTGGTTCTTCCTGGCGATGGAAAGTGAGGGGACTGGTGACAGCCAGTGCTGCTTACAAGGATGCCACACACACTGTCAGGGGAGGGAGTCTGCCTCTGCCCCTGACTACCCACCATGTCACATGTCACAGGGTCCAGGGCCTGGAGAGACCAAACCAAGAGCAACACGGATTGGGCCATGGGGGTGGGGGTGTCAAGCAGGTGGTCAGCTTGCAGAGGTGGGGATGGGGACTTTCAACTTGGGCTTTCCCTCCTGAATAAACCTCTCATCCCTCACGCCTCTGGTACTGCATGATCTGGTCCCTGTGGGTCTTGGCGGCCGTTCTGAATATACTTTCCCATCTACTCAGAGTGTCCAGTCATCTTCTGTCTTCCATCTTGAAGACAGGGTGCCTTTGGGTCTCCTTCCCATCCCTCCCCACCCCAGACCTAGTCTCTGGAGTTCAGGAGACTGGAACTTTCTATAGCAGTCCTTGGTTAACAGCACGAAGTGTGGGGGGGGCGTGGCTGGGGATTTGTTGAGTGTCCTGAGGGCCACTGTGAATGGGCACATCCTCTGGCAAATCTGCTGCAGGGTTCCTCAGGAGTACCAGGAGCCTGCAACTGAGAGGTCTTTGGCACTTGCGTATGGCTGGGGTGGAGGCTAACCAGAAGTTTAAGGCCTTAAAGGCCTTCTCCGTGTGTGTGGGGTGGGAAGGAGCTAGGCAGGGGAGCCCACAGCTGAGGCTGCCTCCCAAGAATAGAACCATCCTGGGCTTGAAGGATGGAAGAAGGAAACAAGGTTGTCCAGTCCCTGGGAGCCCATAGAGGCCTGGAGGACAGTCAAGGAAGACTTCCTGTAAGAGGCAAGCTAGCTAGATGAAGCATGACTTGATAGAGAGGGAAGAGGTAGTACAAACTCCATAGTCTTTCTCCTGGGTGCATGGCCCTCTGCTTTCATGGTCCTTATTCTGCTCCCCGTCACCAGGGTCAACAGCAGGGGTGCAGCTCTCACACTAGGAAAAGTCCCCAGTGAGCTGGCTGCTGGTTCTCCCTCTCCCACCTTGCTGGGCAGAGAGCTTTAGGGTCCTGGTCAGTGGCTACTCCTCCCAGGAGGGGCTTCAGAGCCAGAATAGGGAGAGGAGAAATAAGCAGGAAGAGAAAGAAAAGGAGAAAGCACCAAAGGCATAGGAGTAGTGGGGACTTGTGCCTCTGGTGCATTGCTACCACAGTGTCAGGCAGTGCTCTGGTCACCTCTATTCTGGGGAGTTGGGAGGACAGAATTCCCTGGGGTTGGCTGCCTCTCCACAGTCCCCACCCTTGATTCTTCTTTCCCCAAGCAATGTCCCCTGAAAAGTGCCCTCCTGGGTGTCCACCAGGTTCACCTTCAAGGGCACCTAGTGCCATGAGGCCTCCCTGACCATTCTAGGTCCTGTGGTCCTTGAGGTTGTGATGAGGAGGCTGCATTCCTGGGATCTAGGGTTGCCCAGGCTCTAGAAAGGCCTTGGTCCACAGGAGCTCCCAGTCCTTGGGGCTGTGCCCCACAACCCACCTGCTCCACAAAAGGAAACTGGATGGGAATCCAAACTCCCTGCCTGAAAAGCTGTGGGGGCAGCCTGGCCACTGCCTATCCTGAGCCAGGGCCTCTGCAGGCACCACCACCTGCAGCCAGGAAGATAGCAGGGTCCTGGGCTTCTGCTGGGACATGGGTGGGGACATCCCTGAGCATTGCCCTTCCTTCTCCTCCCCTCCCTCAGCTCTATCCTACCAGTTCTGTTCTGGTTAGATCTTTCTAACCAGTTCCTGGGGTGCCTCCCTCCCTAGTGTGAGGGGAAAATAGGACTATTGGCGGCTTCCAGGGCTCCAGGGATGAGAAGTGCCCCTCCCCAGAAGGGGAAAGGAAGGACAGAAGCAAGACTTCATTGCTACTTCTGGTTCATCCAGACCCAGAGCCAAGTGCTAGCCATGCTCCCATTCCCTGTTCCCACCCAGCTCTAGGCTGTAGGCAGTTCTGGGCTACAAGGTGAGGAAGGAGGTGGATCTGGGGTGCAGCAGGGAGCTCTGACTGGGCAGTTGGGGGACCTGGGTTCTCATCCTGGCTCTGTCACTTCTAGTTGTGTAATATGGGCAAGGTGCTTGCCCTCTCTGGGCCTGAACTCCCTGTCTACCACATGAGGTGTTTTCACTGGATCATTTCTGGGGTCTTTTTCTACCTCTAATAGTCTGTAAGATAGGACCACAGCAAGGGGGACTGGAAGGAACTGGAAAATAAGCTTGGTTCTCTGTGATCAGGGCTGGGTTAAGAGCCAGGTGGGTTGACCCCAAGTTCCCAAGGCTCCCTTTCCCCAGCCCAGTTGTCCCTCCTCAACTTTAGGCCTGCCTACCTCCCAGGGGCTTGGGTCCTTAGCATAGCAGAAGCCCTTTCTGTCCAGAAAGGAAGAAGATGGGACCCCTAGAAGCTTTGGGGCTCTGTTCTGGGCCTTTGGGACCCCTGGAGCATGAACTGCCTGACACCAGGAACAATTTCATTTTATCCTAGAACAGGGCTGGCACATGAACAGGTTTGATGGCTAGGAGTAGTTATCTGAGAAGAGATGGTGGGAGAGAAGGGCAGAAACAAAAGAAGAGTTGGGAAGTTGTCCAGTGAGGGGTGTCTAGTTCAATCTATCCTGTGGGGAGCTGGGACAGGGTCCTCTGAGCATGGTCCATAGTCTGCAGCCAGACTCCAGGTTGGGATCCTGGCCGCTCCACCCCCTAGCTGCATGACCTTGGGCAAGCTGCCCAGCCTCTCTGAGCATCAGCAACCTGAAGGACTACTGGGAGCAACAAAAACAAAGATTGCTATGCAGGTATTTGTGTGCAAATTAAGAGATTATACCATTATTATTGCTGAAGTAACAACAGTAAAGCAACAATAGAGACAATGATGACAACATCCCAGCCTGAGATGAAGCTTGAGTTTCTTGTCCTTTTTAACCATCTGCACCTGGTAGTGAGGAGCAGGTGCCAGCAGCCAGGCTAGTTTCCTCTCCAGCCCCAGAGCCAGGACCATGGTGCCTTCACTTCTGGGATAGACCAGCAGGTGGCAGCATTTCACTGTGGTTAATGGGCACTAAGCCTTCCTCCCCAGCCCTTCCACAAGGTGAGCCCCATATTTCCCTGTTTCCACATTAAATGAGTAGACCTTTCTGTCCTAGATTGTGGAATGTACAACCACAGGACAGCAAATCCCCAGCCTGAGCAGGAGTGAGGAGCTTGTACTTGTTCCACCCATCTCTACCCAAGCTGGCCTAGAGGCCACAGCCTGGGCAGGGAGAGGGTCCCCTCCCTGTGGGTACTGCCCTTGGGCTCTATCTATGAGTGTTGGGGGCGGTGAGTGCTAGCCTGAGGAGGGGCCGATGGGCCCACCAAGTGCATTTCTGCTACCCAACACCCTATCCTTTTTCCCATCAAACCCTCAAATTGTTTCCTAAGAGTGACCCAGGCAGTTTTATCTTTCTGAGTATTGACTATTAAGTTTGAAAATGAACCACATAAACAAGGGAGATAAACACTAATTGCTTGGTGGATGTGCCAACTTCTAGTTCCTAATTCATCACCTTGCCAAGGCTGAGCTAAGAAGAGGCAAAGGGAGAGAAGAGGAATGTAGGGGCTGGGAACTTTGGGGCCAACAGACCCTCTTTGAGAGGCTGTAGCAGTGAGTAGGTGAGGCAGGGGATAAGAATGGATTCTGAGGTCCCTGAGGCTCACCAGGGAGTTAGGTGAGGGAGGAGAGGAGGTCTTTGTCTGGGCTCATGGTTATCAAGAAGTTAATGTCGAACATTGCTGGCCTGTGGTTGGCGCTTGGTAGCCACTTCTGCATTTCTCCAAGGTTGGACTCTCAATGGTGCCGAATTGGTGGGCTGTAAACCCCCATTGTTGACTGGTGAGGAGGTTGACTGGCAGTGGAAGGTGTAGCCCTGGGGAGCCTGTACTCAGAAGGACGCTGTTGGTCCTTGAGGGGTGAGCTGGGGGGTTACTGATGACTTAGGGGTGTGGAATGGACCAGATGACCTAAACCCAAATTGGGTTCCTTGCCCAGGCCTAGATGAGACAGAGGCACACAGCGGTCCCATGGGGAGGCAAGGCAGGGGGACACGGGGGAGGAGACCTTCTTTCATAGATCCAGTCAGGCCTCTACATCCCTCACACCTGAGTTTCCAGATCTGCAGATTCAATCAATGGCAGATTGCAAATATTAAAAAAAAAAATTGCATCTGTACT